GTTATCCTGGGTCTCATGTTGGATACATCAGATTCTGTTGCATATAAACATGAGGTTCAGAACTCTGTTCAGTGGTGCGACAAGCATTCTCTCATCATCAACACTAAGAAAACAGTGGAGATGGTGTTTGATCCCAAATCCATTGGAGACCACTTACCAGTGGCCATCAATGACCAGAACATAGTCCAGGTTGATTCCTACAGATATCTGGGCATACACATTGATAATAAGCTGACATGGAGTGTCCAGGTAGAAAACATCTGTACTAAGGTTCAACAGCGACTACACTTTTTACGTAGGCTGAGGGTCTTTGGTGTTAACCAGAGAGTGTTGCTTCTCTTCTATCATGCTGTAATTGAGAGCCTTCTGCGGTATGGCATCTCTGCCTGGTTTGGCAATCTCAGTGTACAGCTGAAAGCACAGATTACACGGTTAACACAGAGAGCCATGAAAATCATGGGAGTTAAGCAGCATCCCACACTTCAGGCTGTCTTTGCTGAAACCATTATCAGACAGGCCCGGAAAATTATTTCAGATCCCACCCATGTCCTCCACCCTGAATATCAGCTTCTTCCCTCAGGAAGACGCTTTAGACTTCCCCAGTGTAGGCTTAACCGCTTTAAGAATTCCTTCGTCCCTCTATCCATCAAAGCTTTAAATGACAAGTCAGTCAGAGGTTTGCCCCCATAACGGTGTTTTAATTGTAACGATAACGATATTCATGTATATATTTTTTTTTTTATTGAATCTTATTATTATGACGATTACAGGTGTGTTGTATGATGTAATGTGCAACTGGTTGGTTGATAGCAGTTTGTGTATGTGTTACTTATCTAAGCAGCAGTCACTGGATTGTATGTGTCCAAGACAATTTTCCTTTGGGACAATAAAAGTCTATCTAATCTAATACACGCACTGAACCCTTTTTATATTTAACATGAATATATTCTTCTTTTATATTTAATATAAGCACATGCTTTATGAATGCAATTTAAATTAATTGTTTGCTTCGTTGTAGATCGAAACGGTGTCCATTATTTTGTCAGTGAAGTTGTTGTAATCTATATAATCAGTGGTGTTATTATTCTAGATTTTGTCATGTAATCTGTCCTTTACTGTTTTTGATCACCACAGGCGTGTTTTGCATCTCTTGTCAGTCAAGACTATGTGAATGGAACAGACCAGGAAGAAATTAGGACTGGTAATTTCTCAGCTGTGTCCTCATGCTGTGATATCAGATAGTAATAGCAGGGAATGTTGATAAATACTTCATAATTAACATATTCATATATACCATATACTCTAAACTGCTTCAAAAAATATCATGATATTACAGTAATTCATTTTGTTGAGTTATTGGAATCAAAGGTTTTTTGCAGATGTTTTACCACTCCATAAATCTGAAAATACTGTTAAAAGCCAGAAGAAAAAAAAAAATCACGTTTTAGTAGTAGAATGTTATATAAATGAGGCAAATAATATACAAACAAATTTCTCTGTAAAAACCTTAAGAATATAGACAGGAATAAACCAGGAAAGCTTGGTATATGTAAATGCTACTGAAGTGGAGGTTTCTAGCGTAGTACATGAGGCAAAACTCGTTTCAGATAAAGTTTCTTTTAAAGTGTTGTAAATGAAATCTACAGACACAAATAGATAGTGTAATTTGGATGTTTTTTTCCACCAGTCTGAAAGACATATTATAAAAGTAAAATAGCCCAAAATCTCGAAATTGACCATTGCATGTAAAACAGTGGCTTTACTTGTAATGTCTCACCTTCATTTTGCATGTTGTGTATTTCAGGGGTTGATCAGTGTATACAGAAGTTTCTGGATGTAGCCAGACAGACTGAATGTTTCTTCCTTCAGAAAAGACTGCAGCTGTCTGTACAGAAACCAGAACAGGTGGAAAAAGAGGTAACCCCATATTTTTGCAGCATTGTTTAAAATCCAACCATACATTATTTAAACCAACACCACTTACATAAACCTTTTAAAACATTTGCAGTTCCATTCTAACATTTGAAACATACAGTATACTGTAGTATAAACTATATATACTGTGATATAATGTGACCCTGGAGCACAAAAGCAGTCTTAAGTCGCTGGGGTATATTTGTAGCAATAGCCAAAAATACATTGTATGGGTCAAAATTATAGATTTTTCTTTTATGCCAAAAATCATTAGGATATTAAGTAAAGATCATGTTCCATGAAGATATTTTGTACATTTCCTACCGTAAATATATAAAAACTTAATTTTTGATTAGTAATATGCATTGCTAAGAACTTAATTTGAACAACTTTAAAGGTGATTTTCTCAATATTTAGATTTTTTTGCACCCTCAGATTCCAGATTTGTCCTATCCTAACAAACCATACATCAATGGAAAGCTTATTTATTCAGCTTTCATATGATGCCTAAATCTCAATTTTGAAAAATTGACACTTAAGACTGGTTTTGTGGTCCAAGGTCATATATGCTGTTCTGTGTTTCAGGATGCATCAGAACTGAAGAATGAACTCCAAAGGAAGGAGATGTTGATTCAGAAACATCTTACCAAGATCCATCATTGGCAGCAGGTGTTGGAGGACATCAACGTCCAGCACAAGAAGCCCACAGAACTGCCACAGGGTCCACTGGCCTTCCTGGAACAGGCCTCAGCCAACCTCCCTGCTCCCATGAAACCAAACTGAAGCATGTACAGAGATCCAGAACACTATTCAGACTGTGTTCCAGGGGCCACTCTCTCTCTCTCTGCCCAGCAAACTGTACAATAAGCCTTTGTTGTGGACTCTTGTCAGTGATGATTTTGTAATGTACATCCACGATGTGCTTCAAGAGGTGCTAAAAGACGTTACTTCCACTTCTCTCTCATTAGGAACTTGTAGGTCTGCCAGAAGGAGGTCATTTTGAAGAACTTGAGGGTCTTTGACAATTAGTCATAAGCATACTTAAAACTCATTTTGTTAGGTAGGAAATGTGATGACAAATTAATCACATTTTTCACATTTCAAGTATAGATGTTCATAGAGCTACAGTGACCAGAAAGGGCTTCAGTTAGAGAGAATTAAGTGGAATAAAAAAAGATTTTTTTTCCACATTATTCATATTTTATTAAAACACCTTTTGTAAAGTTTAAAATAAACATGTTTTGTTGAAAATTAGTACATTCAGATTTATTTTAAAGTTCTCTTTGGTCTTCCTTTGTCTCCTGGCATGGCAGTCCAGCACTGTATCTCCCTTACTTTTATCTTCTCCCTTTATAACATGTTGTATGAACACAGCAAACGTTTTCAATTATTTTCCAACTACCCACAAATCCATTAACTTTGCATTTGTAATTTTATTTCCCTTTTAGTAAAGTTAAAAGTCAAATCAACAAATACAATCTAAGGCTTCTGACACAATTTGGCAACAATAAAAACCTATCAGCAATCCATTGATCAATAAATGCATGAAACCTCTAAAGAACACACCAAAATGACATTATAATTTCATGACTTTCATTACAAAATCAAAAGAAAGGAAAAAAAATAAATTACATAACATACTTAGAGATTATATACAAGAAAACAAAGCCTACTCTTAAAACCATGAACATTTTTGCATGGTGACATTCACAACATTTATTTGTATTGTTATATATTTACATACAATTTATTGTACTGTAATATTGTAATGCAGTATCATTGCAAATGTAAAATGAAGGTAAAATGTGCAAAACTCATGAAAATGTCATGCAAAATCTTTTTTAAATGGTTTTAAAATAGGCTTCATTGTCTTATATATATATAAAAAACAAACATTAATTACATGTGCAAACATACAGTGAAATGAGGTCCATTATAGTGTAAACATTACTTTTTTTAAAAGTATGTTAGTGCAAATACAACACAAATATAGTGAATTGTGTTCCCAATAACATTAACATAACATCTGTGCTTATATTGCTAAAACATTTCAGTATCTTATCTATTTTAGGACCATATCCCTCCCTGATATAAACTATATTGTTTCACTTCAGTATGTTCAGCTGCATGATAAATCTTTTTCATTTGCAGTATTCAAACTATTTAAAACAGCAGAAGTGATTTTAAAGAAAAACTTGTGTTAACTCAACCTAAGTTTTTTTTCTTCACATTTCTTGCCGTTGTCTAAAAATAGGGTTAAATCTTTGAAAATGCGGTCAATAATGCACAGATAGAACAAGACAGAAAGCAACGATGAGGACAATGTAATTTCGCCAACCCTGAGGGAGAGAGAGGAGGAGATGAAGAGTTCAATACAAAAAGGTAAAAACAATAGACAGCAGGAACACAACTCATACACACACGAGTTTACCTTCACTTCTTTGAACACTACAACACCCCAAAGAGCTGCAATCAATCCAGGAACCTGGAATGAACCAAATGCACATTATTGGAAAACATATGTGGAAAGTACATAAAGACATGCATTCTTTTGAGATCTGCCACTCACTGTGGTGATAATAGGGAAGCTCACTACAGCACTGAGGTAATTGTTGGCCAGGAACCAGCAGCACGTGGCTACACCCCACATGATACCAGAAAGGAATCCTACAAGGTAAAAATGTCATTCTATACAATACATCGGGTATACACAGGTATGTGGAAGAAAGATAAACAATTCTAAAGGAAATGTGAATTACAGGAGTAGTTCAGCCAAAAAAAAATTGCTGAAAATGTGCTCACTCTCAGGCCATTCAAGATGTAGATGAGTTTGTTTCTTCATCAGAACAGATTTGGAGAAATGTAGCATTCCATCACTTGCTCACCAATGGATCCTCTGCAGTGAATGGGTGCCGTCAGAATGAGAGTCCAAACAGCTGATAAAAACATCACAATAATCCACACCACTCCAGTCCATCAGTTAACATCTCGTTCAGTGAAAAGCTGCATGTTTGTAAGAAACAAATCCATCATTAAAATGTTTTTTAACTTCAAACCACGACTGGAGTCGTGTGGATTACTGTGAAGTTTTTATCAGCTGTTTGGACTCTCATTCTGACGGCACCCATTCACTGCAGAGCATCCATTGGTGAGCAAGTGATGCAATGCTACATTTCTCCAAATCTGTTCTGATGAAGAAACAAACTCATCTACATCTTGGGTGGCCTGAGCGTCAGTATATTTTCCAGCAAATTTTTAATTTTTGGGTGAACTGTTCCTTTAAATTGAAGTGATGGTGTTACCTGGCAGCACTGCTTTAGGAAAAACTTGAGGTTTGTTTTTTTTTGATGGCACAGTACAGGACAAAATACACTGTACTAGTGAGGAAAATTCCACTATATTGTGCAAAGACGTAATCCAGATCTACGTACAAACACAGAAAATACATAGTTCATATTTAAGAATTCAACCAATGTTTATAATGAGGTAATCTCGATTTACCAAACTGGCTAGCCCCACTGTACTGGCTGTCTGGATCAGATGCATGGTTTTTAATGTACAGAACTGGAACAAATGATGTTCTGTACAGCAGTCCAGCGACAACAGCCAGAAACGTTCCACTGCAACATTTATAAACGTATTTAAAAATGCATTTTTCTGTTAGATACAGTATGCGGATACTTGTATATTTTAATTATTTTATTGTGGTTCATACTATATGCTAGTATTACAAAAACATTTACTCATAAAAAGGTTGATTTGTTTGATGTTGTGTTACTGTTAAACATTGATGCTGATGGTGTATGATGAATTAAATTATTCATCTATATTCACATATTATGTATGTAAAGTGTTAGGAAAGTGTGTAACGGGTCACGTAAGTGTGATGTGTACATACACAAGACGTTTGGTGCGTGGTGTTAATGCATCCACCCAGGAATCATCTGTTGCTACCACAAAGTCAGAGTTCACAGTCTTCGGATAAAATTGATATTATTCATTATTCTGGAATATTCGAACATGAAATATTCAAGAATGTACAGAGCTTCTAAAGGAACATGGTAATGGAAAAAGTATATTTAAATGCTTTTCTGTTCCTCTGAGAAACATTTTGCTAGCTCTCAATTTTGCGTTCTGAGGAACTTTGCGTTCGCTGATGAACAGTTTTATGGGCAAATGCAAAGTTTCTCAGGGGAACGCAAAAAGTAATTTAGACCTCTGAGAAACTTCACAAAGAAACACAGTTTTTCAGCAGGACAAAAAAGCATTGAAAATTTATTTTTCCTTTCATCTCATTTTTTTTTTACCCCATCACCATGTCCAAAAAAAAACGATGGCACTGTAAACATACAAAAATGAAGGAAATAAAAAGGGTGGAGGAAAAAGAAGAGAACAGACATTATTTAAAATAATGAGACTTACAAGTAACATCACGTTCTGAAATTTAAAAAAATTAATAAAAAAATAAATAATAATAATAATAATATGAATGCATGCACATTTACCTAAGTAAACAAAGACCTGCTCCACAGAAGTTCAGTACTGGTTTGGAAACAGTCTCAGCACCAATACCAAACCAACCAAACCTAAAATCAGCAGCAAGAATCAATGTGTGTGTGTTTATGCTGCTAATAACTGGATTCTGAAATGAGATTTTGCTTACCGTGAGCTGGCCCAACCCAAAAACAGATTAAATGAAGCCCATATAAGAAGACCAAGACCAAGCCCAATAGTCTTTACGATAGGAAAGTTATATTACCTAGAGCAAAAACACACAAACATCAGACAGAATTTCACACTGTATCCTCAGTAAATATAAATGAGAAAGTCTTTCAAGAATAGATGTGATAATTGCTGGTGTATTTACTATTTTTGTCAAGCAGTAATTATCAAATTATATTGACATATTAAGTAATTAGATGTTACCAGTAGCCCAGATTGCTCCTCCCAGCATAACAAGAGGCCAAAACTTTGGACTATGTAGAATGATGTTCACCAGGAGGGAGACTGTCCATATAGCAGCACACAGATTCCATTTGAAAAACATGCCTGCACATATACACAGTAGCGTGAACTGAAAATGAATGAAATATTATTAGCAAACTTCCTCTCTTTAGTGTGCTTTCAAAGCAGGATATGATTTATTGAACACTGATTTATTTTATGTCCTCTGCAAAGGACATGAAGACTCAAATTTCCCATAATTTTGGGTAATAATTGTTTCCAAAATGAATGAACAAATAAATAAATGTGAATACATAAAAAAAAAAGATATATATACACACATATACATATATATTTTTTATTTTTTGACTGAAAACATTTTCAAGTTATTATTCTAACAACCTTTTTTTCTGGACCCCCAGAGTCCTTAGAATCAACACTGAATACAATTCTACAGTATTTTGGCATGCATTCATGTGTTACTTGACAATATAGCTAATACAATAACAACATTTGGATTAGGGCTGCACGATTATGACAAATCATAATTGTCGATTATTCCCTTGAAATTGTAATTGCGATTATTAATTACGATTATCCCAGTTTACACTGAATGATGTTTATACCATTTTTTAATGCAACTGCATGCCGCATTTTTATATGAAAATAAACGTTTAGTGCTTTTCTATAGTATTAAGCCTCAAATGTCAAGTCAAGTCAAGTCACCTTTATTTATATAGCGCTTTTAACAATCAAAAAAATAAAAATAAATTCAGTCACCATTAACTCCAGTTTTCAAACCTGTATATGACTTCCCATGGAACACAAAAAGAGATAATTAAAAATAAATAAATAAATAAATTCAGTCACCATTTACTCCAGTTTTCAAACCTGTATATGACTTCCCATGGAACACAAAAAGAGATAATTAGAGAATGACTGCCTCAGTTACCATTCACTGTCACTGCATCACCTTTCCATACAGAGAAAGCAAATGGTGACTGAGACTTCTGCAGCTGCCTATATCTTGTAGTGTTGCACAGAAGAAATAAAGTCATACGGATGATGAGAGCGGCCACGCGAGGATTCATCTTAAAGACACACGCAACAGCATTCAAACAATTAACAGATGTCGATAAAAGCTACTTTTAGGCGGAGATCCGAGCGAGAGCTGCTCATTGAAATGAATAAGTGTGACTTTACTTCCGTGTCTGCTGACAGGCATGATCACATGATTGTTAAAAGACACATCTTGGGCACGCGACGCGTGTGATGAACCACGTGTGTTTGAAAATGATAACGGAGCGGAGCATTGTAAACATTGTAAACAACAAATGCTAGACCAGGGGTGCCCAAACTCGGTCCTGGAGGGCCGGTGTCCTGCAGAGTTTAGCTCCAACTTGCCTCAACACACCTGCCTTCAAGTTTCTAGTATGCCTAGTAAGAGCTTGATTAGCTGGTTCAGGTGTGTTTAATTGGGGTTGGAGCTAAACTCTTCAGGACACCGGCCCTCCAGGACCTGTGCTAGACTGTCTTCCGTTTGTTTTTTCAGTGTCAGGTAAGGTCCTATGATTTTATGAATGAACAGCTCATTTTAAAATCCTCCAGGTCTACCTACATTTGTTATGACATCTGTTTGGAACAATGCACATGATAACTGTACAATAAGTAAATCCACTTCACCAGCTATTTACTCTTGAATAGTGATGCGAGCTAAAACGGAAGTTCAAAGACAGAATTCTAAAGATGGCTGCACGCTTGTTTCTCTGGCACAGAAAGTCTATAGACCACTTTCATTATTGATTGCTATCAGGATGTTAAGACACTTTCAACCAGTATAACAACAAATGTTTGCCCTAAAAAAGTGCCTATCCTACAGCCTTGCTTGCCTGTCACCAACCTTATCTGTGCATAATCACCACTACTGCTCGCTGCTCTCAACAGTCGCCTTCGCAAACATTGTTCACTGCTGCAAACTACTAACTCATAGGCCTACTTTTACGCATCAACAGCATCATAATCCTAGATTCATTCTCTTTTATTTTTTGAGCCTGTCTCCAGCCTCACTCTAGCACTGATAGTGCTTGTAAAACAGCACTGATGCTCACATTTGGAATTAGGGGACACACAAATTGTGCAGATCAGGGCCACTTTTAGAAAATGCATGGTGGCCAGGCAGGGGCTAGTGAATAAAATGACCTGGTAATAGAAATCCATACTTGATTTTAGTACCTGCTTTATTTCAGAATTTGTAAGTTTCAGAGTGATTTTTGTTGTTGTTGTTCACAATGTCATGTCAGAAATAATCTGTATCAGCCTTGTCCTTTCAGCTGTCTCTTAAAGGGGTCGTGAACTGCCTTTCTTTTTTTTTTTTGACCCAGAAATTGTCATTGTTTACTTTGGTGAATCTTCAAAACACAAAATAAGATATTTTTAATGAAACCTGAGAGGTTTCTGTCCCTAAATTGAAAGTCCAATTGAAAGGGTCATAAATACATGATTGAAGAGAGCTGATCGCTTTATATCATGAACAGATTTATTTACATCTGAACAATGATCAACACACATTTGTGTTTCTAAGATGAAGTTATTTGAAATTACATGAGGGTGAGTAAATGACAGAATTTTCATTTATGAGTGAAGTATCCCTTATCTCTAAGGTACTGTAAACATTTTTTAAAATACAAAAATATCCCTACTATCTGACAGATATCCCTGAAATAGGTGTCCTAAGAAATCGGAACAAAGAATCAAAGGGGTGACCCACACTGTTTTATCAGAAATCACATTGTGTGTGTTCAGGTTTCCTGAAGAGTTTTGTTTTTTTAAAGCAGTGGCTGCAAGTGACAGTTGCACAGCCAAACACCACTCAGTGCTTTAAAGTCAAATTATTTTACAATTCATTTTTTTAAACATTATTTTAGAATATTTCCATTAATCTTCATTTAAAGTGGTCAGACGACAAACACAATTCACAACTAATCATGGCCACAAACAGCTTCCACCATAAAAATGAATGAGTGCATCATTAGCCTTACATGAAAACATTGATTATTTGATGGGCCAAGGGAATGTCTATAGCAGAGTCCTCGAGGGCCACTGTCCTGCAAACTTTATCTCCAACCCTAATCAAACACACCTGAACCAGCTAATTAAGCTGTTCAGGATTATTAGTAAGCTACAGGCAGGTGAGTTTGATCAAGGTTGGAGCAAAACTCTACAGGACAGTAGCCCTCCAGGACCAGGGTTGAGAACCCCTGGTCTATAGGATCCCAGTTCAGCAATTACAGTTAATAATGTTAGGCTTTTGGATGTTGTATGGTCACTGGATGAGAGTTAAAGCACTCAGCTGAAAGAGCCTCTAATCAACTAAACTGAAGGGGAATTTCAAATCACTCAGTAAATATGCCTCAATATACAGGCCAGTCATTCCTTTCTATGTGAACTGAAAAAAAGATGACACCGTCATAAAAAAAGATAAAGAAAGAAAACAATTTGTTATGCATGTTAGGAGGAGACAAGAAATGGAAGGATTTGCAAACTTTTCTAGATTTTAGTCTTCAGTAGTGGAGTGAGACATATGTTCACATGCACTACTGTTGGTCAATCCTAATAAATCCAATTTGATTTCAGATTCTAAAAAGTATTCTTTGTATGTACCCTAACTTTGCAAATGCAATTAACATATTTGTTTGCATGTGTATTCCGAACAAAACTCTGTTTTGGCTATAGGCTGAGCTGGAGGTGGTGTTCTTTCATTCAGGCCAAGATCTGTGCAGTCTCATGGGATTGTAAGGCTGGAATGAGAAGTAGAGCTGTGTGTCAGTGCTGCAAAGGTAGAAAAAACAATGTACCTGGATGTTTGGTCTCAGCTTTGCTGTGTATATAGAGAAGAGGATTGGGCCCAGCACTAAACCCAGAGGTACCCCATTAAATACCGTATACGAAATAACAAATAAAAACAATGAAAGTACAAAGAAAGCATGTGCAATCATGAACACAACCATGATTACAAACTGAGACCTGTCTGTGCTTCGTTAATTGATTTGACACTGAGCGTTAATTGGCTGCAACAGAATCAACCATGTTTGGCTACTGGAGAATACTGATTTCTTATTGGCTGATAAAGCTAATAAGGAACTAGACACAGCAAGAGGAAACTCAACTGCTGAGCTGCAGATGCTAGGTCAGTCTGTTTGTCTGAGAGCCTTGCCTAAAAAGAGACTAAAAGAGACTGTGTGTGTTTATGTGTGTGTCCCAGAACAATAACATGGTAGCAACTGAACATCAGGCAATTGGCACTGGTCTTCACTAAGAAATCAATAAGAAAGCACAAACACATTTTGGCAATTTTCCTCTCCCAAGTGTTTCCAACACTTAACCAAGTGTTAGAAACACTTGGTTAAAATACCATAGCTTGTTTATGAGTACATGGAAGCGCAACACTAATGTGTCCCCAGTACATACTGAACAGGGCCACATCTGTTCCTGTGCTACTGAGTTGCTCAAAGCACATTAGCCCTGAATAAATCAACAAACCTTTTTATTGGCTCAGAGCTCTTTCAGTGCACAACTCACCATCGGTAAAAGGCAGTGAAAGAAAGACAGCTATTTGTATATCCACTATACCTTGAGATAATGATCTGAACAGGGTCCAAAATAATGTTTTTGCCACATCTGCCAGTGGTAGGTGAATTGAGAATACCAGTAATTTCGTACTGACCATGAAAATGTATTTTAAATTATTTAATTTATTTTGTATTTTGCATTTTTATTCAAAATACATTTTTTCAAAATGGATTTAGCTTTTTTCCAGGTCATCGAGTTGCAGCAGTCGCTGCATTTCTGTTAAGCTGCACCTGTCACAAAAACATGACGACACAGATTTTGTTGCTCACCGTTTCGTTTTGGTAGCTTAATGTGAGGAATATTCCATGTGTTTCCACATGTTCTGTAAGAAAAAAAACAGGCATCCTAGACAAGCTGTTTCAACATTTTCATCTTGTTAATTTTGGACCCAAGAATTTATGAATGTGAATTTATGAGTGAATAGCTGAAATGCTTGTCAACCCCCTCCTGCAGCATTTTTCTCCTTCCCATGAAACAGAGTAAAACAAAATATCAGAGGATTCTCAGACTCTGTTTATTCCAAAAGATTCCAAAAAATAAAGCAATCAGTCCACATTCCATTAAGAAAAACATCCTTAATTTCATCCCATGGCAGACTTTCCAACTGAAATGAAGCTAGTGATGACAAGTCCATTTGTGTCTGTATGTGAGAGACAGCTTGGTATGACGGTCATAGGTTCCCAAACGTGCTCCCAAATGCACAATATGAGCAATCCTCTTGTGTGCATTTGTGCGAACTGGTGTATCAACTAAGAATTTAAGTTTTACACATGAATGGTTTCTATTTACATGTACAGTACATATACATATAAAACTAATGAACAAGATTTCAGTTACACGTCATGGCATAGAAAAGGGTGATCAGCTTATACTTTATCAATATAACTATCTGTAATAATCATCTCCATCTCTTAGTCTTCAGAGCATAACTGGACTACATAAATTAAAATCCGAGTTAACTAATAGTGATATAATCATTGCTTTTATAAAACAAACATAACGAAAGGTTATCATGCTTTTCACAGTTAAAACTGCATATCGTAGTGCATCTTATTAAAAGTACAATGCATTTGATATGAAAAACAAAACAAAACAAAATCAAAAAAGCCAAATATGACATAAATAACAAACCCCCAATTATAGGGTGCTAATTTTCAGTCTTTACATTTCCCCAAACAGAGACGATTTTAATGAATGCATCTGAAATGCCTTGACATATTTTGGCACACACCAATATTTGGCATTTTGGGGGATTGTAATATATTAAGTTATATATATATATACAGATCCATCTTAATCAATATAACACTTTCAATATACCATCTAAATTGTGTAATGCAGAAGGTAAAATATTCTTCAATTTTTTGTCTTTTTTTAATTAAAAGAAAGAATTAGAAAACTACTGGTTGCATCGCCCATAAGCAAGAAAAAACAGATCCGAACACAGTGATCCAAAAAATTAACATCACAACAAATCAAACCAGTGAGGAGGAGAAACAGAACTACTCAAATTATTTAGTTTTTTTCTTTAAGTCAAGCATTTGCATGGTAACATTAACATCAAATGAACAAAAGTGTAATTATATACATAATTTATTATACATATCTCATATAATAAGAAATTATTCTAGACAAACTTTTTTTTTAATATATATATATATATATATATATATATATATATATATATGTCATGTAGGTTGAGTAAACAAAATCACATTTGATGCAGATGTTTCGTGTGCTTGAGTTCTTGAGAATCAGAGATTCCAAAAACACGCTGCTATGGAAACAGGTGTGGAGATGTGTAACGTTGTTCCTCAGTGCAGCATTGCAATGTCATCACTTACAATGTGAAAAACATCTATGAAAACTGAAGTGGGGCAAGTGTGTGAATATATGAGCAAAATTAGGTCATTTTATATGTGCGTATTCAAGTGTGTGACAAAACGAGAACTTGGAAATGCAGTTATGTAAAATGCACACAACAAGGAACATTATAGGACTGTGGCTACACAAGGTTTGTGAAGTTATCTGCATATGTACACACAGCATTGTGCCTGTATACTTTTTTATGTGTCTGTCAGCATGTTTTTTGCAAATGTTGGTTGTATACATCACCGCTGGTCAAAATATGATTGCACTGAACAGTAAACATATGTGTTAATGTTTCTATGCATGTATGGATCTGACATCCTGTGTGTAGGTGTTGTGATTCATTGTATATGGAATAATTAACTATTATTATGTATGTATATATAGTGTCTATGTGTGTAAGAATATGTACACGTGTTTGGATGTGTATTAAAGTGGGTACAGCATGCTTGCACCAGTGTGTGTGTGTGTGTGTGTAAGGCACTCAGGACAGCTCGCTCACACTCACAGGCATTGCCATGCCAGGTCTCAGGTACGGCACAGCATGGACGGCTTTAGAGAAGTCTGGAGTCAGCACTCGCCCGTTCTCTCCTGTATTGCCCGTTATAGACAACCTGGCCTTACTGCGCATAGCATCTGTGAACGTCATCTGTTACCAAACACACACCCACACAAACAGAATGTAGAAATGCACAGCGATTCACACCCAAATTCACACACATGGAGACAGAAAGAGAAAAAACAAAACATTTGTTAATGTTTTACAGTGCATATATTTTTAGAAATACAGATTATATTATATATACATATTTAACATCTGTACATAACTGTAGATGTTTATGAAGAGCAGATGGGGTGGAGAATGATTGACAGCTAATGGGTCTCGCTCAAAGATGGCGGAGCTTTATATCAAAAGCAAGTGATGCAGCCAATCCACAAACAACCACAATGATGATAAACAAGCGGAAAATTAGGTCAAATTCATTTCTCTAGGAACCATACATCTTTTATTTCCAGCCATACATTTTATTCTCCCTCTGTTCATCCTTTGTTTACCTTTACCTCATTTCTTTAATCTTCAATCTTGATCACATAAGATGTGCGTGTAGTCACAATTTAACAAAACTGTACAGTCAAGCAACTGCTTGTGTGATGCTGTATTTTTAAAGAGATCCCATCATGAAAAAAAAAAGTTTTTCATCTTTTGATATATGAAACTATGTGAAGTTTGAGAACTGAAAACTTCCTTGTAAATCTGTCGCAGTGTAATGTAGACTTTGCAAAAAGGCTGTTATGAATGATGGGCATTTTTGTTTTTCACAAACATTTTTTCGTAAAATAACATACTGAATCAGTCACAGTAAGACCAGAAACATTCTTTAATTAAATAGGGTCCATTTAGATTTTATGTTGGAAAAAAGGCCCCATTTAATTCTCAGAGAGTTAGAAAGAGAGACGGAAAACTAAATTACGGGCTGAAATTAAAGGGATAGTTCACCCAACTACGATATCACCCAAATTTTGATACGAACCCTTTAAATCTTTGACAAATGCATGTCAGCGTGATGCCTGGAGAATCGTGCAGTGGCGATGAAGCGTTTGGCATACGATAAAAAAATGACAAAAGAACAGTGAACAAACGACAAAAATAAAGCCTCTGCCGTTCCTACCCCACTAGATCTTAACACTCTCCAGCCCATAAACGTTGTACCCTTCCTTATAAGTAGCAAAATTCTGAGAATTCTGCGAGGAAGAGGAGGGATTTAGAGCCTGAGTCTTGGCAACCTTCATGCGTTTGGCCTCCGCGCGAGACTTGTAGCAGAACTCCACCAGAGCGACCAGCATGGCCAACCCGAGGCCACCCACCAGGATGTAGAAGATGCCCGCAACATTACTCAGGCTGAGGGCGCTAGTCTTCTCCTGCAAGGGGTTGAAGATCAAAAGTCAAAGATAAGGGAGAGAAAGGATGACAGTATGCCAATACTACTGATTATCACTGTATATTTGACAGACTACGACTTTAAAGGTAATTGCGCTACAAAAACAGTACAGTATTAAGTGTGTATATGTGAGTGTCTAGTAACAGTAAAATACATAGACGGCTACAAAAGTACAACAGGACAATACGGTGCAGTGTGTGCACATAAAGAAGGAAAAAAGACGCCACCTACAGAATTGCAATTAAAGACAGCTGAAGTAAAAGGCAAATATACAAACAACATTTACAGCATTGGTGAGGGAGAAGGAGAGACCGCATGGCAAAGAGAAAGAGAGATAGGAGGGAGAAAGAGAGAGTGTAAGAAAGATAAAAAATAAAATGGAACAGGACAAGTTTTCAATAAAGCACATAGAAATACAAAGGAGCACAAGGAAATTCTGAGCCTATACACAGGAATGAGTATGCGTGTTTGTGCATGAGAGAAATGTGGATCAAGTAC